TAGATAGAGTGCACTAATGGTTGAAACAGTACTTCATAAAATGGTACATATGCAGACACATGAAGTCGTCCTCCTAATTAAAAGATATTCCTTGAAAATGCATCTCTGAATAAATTTTTTCTATGGCCATGGGCACAGCATTATCAAGAGTATATTGATAGGGAGGATATATATAATTTTGTATCTCCTTTTCATAAAGGGCAATAAAGATATACATACATACATAATGTCTATATGTTTGTTAGATAGCGGCCATCTTGAAAAGTTCTTCTTGAACAGAGCTCCTTTGACCATAGGTATAAGCATATCAAATTTGAACCAAATCCGTCCACTAGTATTTGAGTTATTAAAGGTTTTGTTTTTTACAAAAAATGGCGGCCATTTTGAAATTCAGCTGCCATCTTGAGAAAATCTTATTGAGCAAAGCTCTGTGTCGCTAGGCATGAGCATGTATAATTTGGGCCAAATCCACCAACTGGTATTTGGGTTATCAAGGATTTCATTTTTTACAACAAATGGTGGCCATTTTTATAAATAGGGCCATCTTAAAAAATTCATTTTGAGCAGAGCTCCTATTTCTCTAAGCATCAGTATAATAGATTTGAACAAAATCCTGGTATTTGAGTTATAAAAGATCATGTATTTAACGAAAAATGGTGGCCATTTTGAAATTCAGAGGCCATCATGAAAAATGTCTCCTTAAGCAGTGCTCCTTTGTCTTCGCCATTTCGAAATTCAGCTGAAAATTTTAGCAGAGCTCCTGTGTCCCCAGGCACCAGCATATATGATTTGAAAACGAAAATCCGTCTACTAATCTAGTATTTGAGTTATCAAAGATTCCGTTTTTGACGAATTTTGAGGCCATTTTGAAATTCAGGAGCCATCTTGAAAATGTATTTGTCCCTAGGTATCAGCATTTGAAATTTGATTGCAATCTGTCTACTGGTATATGTGTTATTAAAGATTACGTGTTTTTGCGAAAAATGGCGTCCACTTTGTTTAGTGGCCAGCTTGAAGATGACCAATTTTAAAAATTCAAATTTATTTTAAGATGTCGGACACTTACATGTAAATAACCTGAACAATTGGAGACTCAATTATCAATAAAGGTTTTTTAAATAAGTCTTACTTGAGATAATCCCAATTTGTATTTTTGATTTCAATAATTTTCTCTGGGCATTAAGATATAGTTAAATTAATGCATTCCTGTAACTAATTGATTAGGAAAGCGAGACAAATGGCCCGAGAACGTATTATTTCTCCAAATATAAACCTCCAAAATAGAGAGAACTTTTTACTGTAATGAATATGCGATTTTTTAAGTTGAATATTATAAAAGCATTTTTCTCTGAACCACTTTCATGCATTGATGAATTCGTTTCTCGCTTATTTATCAACCAATTTTCTTAATTTATTTTTGAAAAAAAAACACGTGAGAATAAATGTATGCATTGGTGTGAAGTATCGCGTATTAAAAGATGCGTGTGGCCTCTAATTCGCAATTGTTTGAACAAAAAAGTCTTTCTAACACCACTCTTTGAAACTAAAATAAAGTTTCACATATTTAGATTACATTGTGTAAAACTACTGAACATGTTAATATAAGCGAAAAATGTGGTTTAAACTTTATATGGGGGCTTTAACCATAATTATTTACAAAGCTTCAAACAAAACGTTTCATGAGATAATATTATTCAATATTTCATAACAAATTTTCAAAATAACACTCTATATAATTCATGTGCGATAATCTTTAGTGAAGAACTAAAGATGACAAATTGTGTACATTCGTAAATCGTCAAAAATTGTTATTGAGCTGAATCAAAAAAATGAAACCCAAAAATTCACCGACTGCTTACCTGTAAGTCGAGTTCCAACTTCAAACTGTGAAAGTCTGGTGACGGCTTGTGGATCGATCCACGCCTTATATAACCGCCTACTTTCAAAAGCCAATTAAATATTTGGTTAATGTCCTGTTCGCTGATGATAACATTTACTCAAAAATGGGCTTCCAATTGAAAATACAAAGCCTAGAACATGCTGGTGTAGGTTTTTTAAGGAAGCAAAATCAAACTATTCAAAATGGGAAAAGGAAAAACTCACTTGAAAGCAATTGTTCAACTGATAAACAAAAATTTACGGTCAGATGCCACAAGCGTACGTGTTCGAGAGTGTACATGTTCGAGTGCAATTAATCCATAAGTCCAGTCCATTGTATAAATGTCAAAGTGATCGCACTGATTATGAAAATGTTGAACTCACCCTTTTCTCTAATTGATGTCACATTTAGGGCAAAGGTTTGACTTATTATCTTTAGGCAGAATGATTTATATAGTTAAGACAGTTTGAATATAATGACCTAATATATAAATAAAATCGTTTATATGGATGGGGTGACTTTTTAATTATATGTTAGTGGGAATTTTAATGGATGTCGAACTTTCAAATATTTTTTTAGTCAGAAACGATAAACTAAACATCTTAGGCTTTTTCAGAAATTAATCAATAAGAATTCAATGAACTGTATTGAATGGCCCGTAAGTCCACTGTTTTCTGACTATCGTGTCGTTATATCCATGGCCTTTACCACGGGGAGTAAGTCTACAGAATATAAGAGGGGTGGGTTACTTACTCCCCATGGCCGTTACAAAGTTTCTTTTCATGATCTGGAGTAAAATCTATAATTTAGCTAGTTAAGTTGGGACCTTCACTGGTCATCTCTGAATCTAGATTAAGATTATTTTAATTTAGATACCATATAATACCAATCTTATAAGATATACAATATCCCCGTACACTCTACCTTTTCATACTCAGTCAGGGCCTGTTAGTACCATAAACACGGTGCTCTTGTCTTAACAATGGAAATTGTTCCGGACGTGTTTTTACAAACGATTTAGACGTGTTTTGTAAGAACATGGAATACGACATTCGTTAGAATGGAGCATAAAGGTAAGAATATTCTATATTTTACAAACTAACATTACTTGACTTCTACCTAAGATGTTCTTCTTCATATCCACGTAATCTATTTTGGCGATTATTCCATCATACTTCATAGTACTCGCAATTATATTACCAAAAATACTAGAAATATGTACTAAATTTGCATATAGTGTTATTTAATTAAGTTTAAACAGACTATCCATTCAACAACGTGGAATAATATTAACTACTCTAAAGATGGTGTTCATTTTTTAACTATCTTTATCTTAAAATTGCCATAAATGACTGTAAATGTAGAAAGTGGAGTTAACGATGGAGAAGGGATATTTTTGGACACATCTAAATAGTTTAATCCAAAAAAGGTATTCGGTCAATTGCTACTTATTTAAGCTTTTTTAATTTGTGATTTTCGAACATATCGTGGGTACTTTCCTTATGAATAGATGTATTTATTGAATACAAAAATATGTGTAACACTGCCAGAATCGCTCATTTTCCGATTTAACAAGGCTATAGCACAAGATTCGTGCAAATAACGCGTTTGTGGATACCTGAAGTTAGGATATATAATATGGTAAGCAATACTAAATCGTTTGAAAAAACACGTCCAAGACAATCTCCACTGTTAACACTTGGTCACCGTGATAAAAGAATGTCTGGGAGACAACCAGATTCTTTTCACACATAATCAAGACACTTCGATTTCAACATTTCGACATAACAAACGGTTGATTATTATATCATTTTTAAGTAGTCTAGCTACAAGACCTCGCCCCCCCCGTCCACAAACCTCCAAACAAGTTGTGTTGATGAAGTACACAAGGGCACGATGCCCATGTCAAGCAGCGTGCCTACTAGGCACGCAGTTTGAAACTCTGACAAACTGCGCGCATATTTCAAAATGTGAGACGGAGAGGACACGACTCCCAAAAAGAGCCAAAATACGAAAAATACAAGGTTAGTCTCGTTCTAAAGATAGTACCATTCTGTGAAGATGAACTTAATTTACTCATAATACTCAATGTTTCTCCCGATGTAAACCTATTTATCTCAATATAAGGGTCTTAAGTAACTTCTGTGTTCAAAATTTACAATGTAAAGTTATATCTATGTCTTTTTATCGTCATTTGCCGTTTATTCAGCCATTGCGTCTGTGTATGCTAGAATATATAGGATCACTCCATCTGATTAAAGCAGCAAGGTTTGTGTTCAAAACGATAATACGCCATAAACGTGATTTAAACATTTTTCTTGTCAAACTGCGTGCCTAATATTTCCAAACTGCTTGCCTATCCAAGCTTGTTTTGTATTATTAGAAAACATAAGCGCCATACAAGGCACATATGTGTCTAATAGTAGAACCCCATAATTGAAACACTATGAGAGTCCATCCACCAAGATGGTGATCTGAAAATAAAAGTTTTTTTCGTTCCCAACTTAATTGTCACTTCTATTATACGTTTTGACTTTCAATATGAAAATCTCATAAAATCTGACGATAAAGCAAAATTTCCAAAGCTACATGAAAAACACCTACACGTGCTTCTGTCGAAATTCCAATGATAATATGTAGTTTTAATAGTGTATGCGCACAGTTTGTAATTTCTGGCTAAAATAGGCGCGCAGTTTGGGATTTATTTCTTTTTAATCTCCTGATTATCTGTTTTATCTCGAAATATTTTGAATTATACATGATAAATGTGTAAGGAATTAAATATAAAACGAGTCTAAAGTATTTGTCATTTGTGTTTAAAGTGCTAGATCGATTTACGTATAAATTCCCGTTAAATCAGTGACGAAAATGCCATTAATCTGCTTATGTTTTAAAACTTAGATTCATTTGCACATAGTTTTTGCTAGTATTTGCAAGATTCGTATATTCGCCACAGAATGAACGCATTGAGCAAGAAAACAATGCAAGATAAATGTCTTTAAATTACGTTTCAAAATACAGACTCCAACTTAAATGATGTAATGTTGTAAGGCACGCAGTTTGTGATCGAAACAAACTGCGCGCCTGAGTAGGCGCGCAGCTTGACATGGGCACCGTGAAGGGGGAGGTCCACAGTCCTGAAGCAAGATTATCAAATAATATGACATCAAATTATATTATTAAATTTTGTCTATTACAGTCTTATACAACAATTAGAGATGAATGGTTATGCTCTCTTAATCTGCACTGTACAACACCAGGCCATTGGTTGTACCGCGGAGCAATATGAGCGTTAATACAATCACATAAAAATAATTTGAATACAACTGCAGAATAGGAAACGAGCTAGTGTCTCAGAGCTATGACTGCCAGTCATGGTTGGACGGAGCTATTGTCTTTTGTCTATTCGCAGTGCAAATAGTTGGGGTGCAGGATCGAAACTTGGCACAGTCCACATTTCAGCAAACTGTCCATATGTTCTCATTTTGTTCACTGTAATTGAGCTGTCATTCCTTGGATGATGTCAGTGTAGCAGTCTGCCCAAGCTTCGTTGTCGTAATCATCAATAGCTGCAGAAAAAATTTCTTCCAGGACTTGTCCAAGTTGCTGAAAATGGAATGCGTTAGGTAATGAAGTGGCTGTTGGATTTGGCCATACTTTGACCTTATGTTTGTCCAGTGTATATATTTCGGAGACTTTGATTCTATATTGTACATATTGAATGGCTATTTTTAATTCTTTATTTTTATCTTTGGAATAGACGCAGCCATAGTTGTAAAGCCATTAATTAAATTTAATAATTGATTAAATAAATAATAACATAACGACATACGTATAGCACATGTTCATGAATCTTTCATTGACAATGATTAAACCTTAGCTGAATGCAACTTTCGTGGAGGGATCAATGAGATTCTCCGGTGTTAATAATAGGAAAGTACTATCTACTATCTAGTATAATGTTTTGAATTGTAAAACTGTGATTTTACGGAAACTACAGTCATCGCAAGGGTTACCCAACATATTTACTATTTCTACAACGTAACTATTCCGCAATTTGATTTCATTTAAACTTAACCTACCTCAAAATATTCGTATTTTAGATTTGGAATATTGGAATGGAAGGCGGCGAGATGTCCCAATTGTGATGTATATACTTCAGCGTCTCCAAGCTCCGAAATAACATTACCAAGACCTCCCAGAACTCTGGCGCAATGAGCTTGGAATTTAGGTGAATTTGTGTCATCGCTGTCGAATTTCGAGAACAGCGCTCTTGAATCAGGTGCTAACTTGAACAATCTGAAATAGATATTCAAAATACATATTTACTGACAGAAACATTCCTATTCATCATACAAACACATGGATTCACAAAAACAAGAGCGTCGTAAACCTGTTACTGTTTTCTTTCAACTCTGCAACTTGAGCGTATGTTCACCACGTTGGATCCACAGTTTATAATGTATGTCTATGTATGGGTGAACATAAAATAACACAGGGCTCCTTTGAGGAGGGGTATCTGGGTCTATCTTCCAGGCTAATTACGTTAATTACGACCGATACGGGATATACCCAAGAGGTATTGCTCACGTTCATTGGTGGTAAACAAAATACAAAACAATACATGGTGTAGACTATGGCGATGGCTTTGAAGGATGTTATGTCATGGATAAAGTATGACTTCTGGGTTTTATGATAAATAATAGCCGAGGGTAGTTAGGCTAAATCGGGGGCTAAATACTGTTATTTATCTTAAAACCAAGAACGAGTGATTCATCTAACTTATACCCCACAGACTCTTATGAAAGGTATAGTCCATGATCCAATTTGGAAAATTTAAAATCTTACACCCCAGTCACATTTGTCGTACGGCAGCCGTACGTCGACCGCGGTATTTTTTAAAGCGGAGGTCAAATAGGTATGCTGTATATATATATTCTTTAAAATAAAAGTACAGTTCATTCTATTGTGTTGCTACCTATTAAGTTGGGTTTAAGGACTCTGAAACAGTATTTTGTCTGACCCATTTCATGAGAAACTTAATCCAAAACATTGTATGAGTGCTATGAGTAAGCCTTCTGATCTTCAACATTTTCGATGTTAAAAAACCTAGTTAAGACATCTTTCAATCTAGCTGTTCTTCAACATTTATTGTGATTACCAGGACTTCAGTATCAATGAAATGTCCCATCGTCTTGATCGATGCCTGAATGTTGACAATGGGGGAGGGGGTGCTTATTAGTCAATTTTTCCGTATTCCTTAAATCATATAGTTATGGATTTTTGGGGCTTGTTTTCCCAATGACATTGTGATCTTACATGTGTTTCATGTATTTTAATTTGTAGTTGCTAGTCTTGTCTCTTTTAGCATCTGTGTATCGATGGTCCAATCAGAGCTCTATTCCCAAAAATCTTCTTTTGAATTTAGATGAATTTATGTAGTTTTGCCAGTATATCAAAAAGTTCTGAAGGTGGCGAGGCCTATTAAATAAACATTTACTTACGATCTAAACGCCGCTTTACCGACGACATCCCTATGGGTATTGTACACCGCGTTCCATTGGGTCTGCACCTTGATTCTGTGCAAATCGTCTTTGCAGATCCCTTGTACAACTACAGCGCCGACGACGAGGCAGGCAAATATTGCGAGGACTTTCATGGCGATACAACTAAGATAAAATAAAGAGTGGCATAAGTAGCTATCCGATTTTGGAATAATAATTTTTATCGCACCCTAAGGTGCTATATTGTAATCAGTTTGCCGGGTGGGCGTCCCGAATAATCTTGACTACAGGTTTCCAGCCAAACCGTTTGAGGGATTCATTTGAAATTCTTAGGGATGTTTCTACCTATGAAAGTTTAGAACTGATTAGTTTTTCGGCATTCTGGGTAAATGTTAAGGCGGCCATTTTGGATTTTCCGTCCTAAAATCTTGTCTGTCAAGGCTTGTCTACAGGTTTCCAGCCAAACCGTTTTAGGGATTCATTTGAAATTCTCAGGGATGTTTCTACCTATGAAAGTTTAGAACTGATTAGTTTTTCGGCATTCTGGGTAAATGTTAAGGCGGCCATTTTGGATTTTCCGTCCTAAAATCTTGTCTGTCAAGGCTTGTCTACAGGTTTCCAGCCAAACCGTTTGAGGGATTCATTTGAAATTCTCAGGGATGTTTCTACCTATGAAAGTTTAGAACTGATTAGTTTTTCGACATTCTGGATAATTGTTAAAACCGTTTGAGGGATTCGTTTGAAATTCTCAGGGATGTTTCTACCTATAAAAGTTTAGAACTGATTAGTTTTTCGGCATTCTTGGTAAATGTTAAGGCGGCCATTTTGGATTTTTCGTCCTAAAATCGTGTCTGTGAAAGCTTGTTTTAAAAAATAAAAAAGAATTTCCCATTGAGAGCAATGTTAAATTAAAACATTTTTTAGAAACAACTAAACGGTCAATCTTTCCAATTTTCACATATTTTGTAATACATCAGTATATCTTTTACCCGGATTTCTTTTCAGGAAAATCTGAATTGTAGAAAAAAGCTGATACTTTGTGAAGTAATACCTTAAAACGTGTCTCTTGAGGGTTGTTTACAGGTTTCATGGATTCATCCTAAAAGTTTCTATGGAAAGTTTAAAACTGATTAGTTTTTAGGCAGTCTGGGTAATTTTTAAGGTGGCCATTTTGAATTTTCCATCCAGTGTATTCTGTTCAAGGGTGCGATTCTGTTCACCCTGTGGCTTGTTTAAGTTGTGGTGAGTATATTCACGGGGTACCATCGAATAATTTTGGCAACGTACCGGAGAACGACATTTTACTAAGAAATGGCAATAATTAAGCACAATATATTTTTTAACTCGAGTTCTACTTTGATTTTGACAAAAGTAAGTATTCCATGCAATGGCTATTTCATTCATGAATTTGAAGGAATTCTGTTGGAACCCAGTTCTGATCAAGTACGAAGTTATTGAAATCGGCGCAGTCGGACTTTACTCCGAAAGATGGTTTTTCGATTATAACTTTTTACAACATTTAAGTATAGACTTTTGAAAAAAGTACAGAATAGTCCTTATACTATTGAATAATTCTGTTATTTCTGATTCACACGACTCTGATTTGTTTAATTAAAAAAAAAGTTTTAAAAATATTACTTAGGAACGTAACCGGAGCTGGGAACGTAACCGGAGCAGATCAGTTGAATTATATAATTTAAAAAAATACAATATATGATTTAAAGCATATATATTATTTACAAACACATATGAATGTTAAAATGAGCATTTTTTATTACCCTTCACTTACAGGAAAATCAATGCATGGCAATTAGTATAAATTAGAAATTAATTAGAAATTAGTATAACAGACGTTAATTTTTTTGATTAAATAATTCAACTGATCTGCTCCGGTTACGTTCCCAGCTCCGGTTACGTTCCTAAGTAATATTTTTAAAACTTTTTTTTTAATTAAACAAATCAGAGTCGTGTGAATCAGAAATAACAGAATTATTCAAAAGTATAAGGACTATTCTGTACTTTTTTCAAAAGTCTATACCTAAATGTTGTGAAAAATATAATCGAAAAACCATCTTTCGGAGTAAAGTCCGTCTGCGCCGATTTCAATAACTTCGTACTTGATCAGAACTGGGTTCCAACAGAATTCCTACAAACTCATGAATGAAATAGTTATTGCATGGAATACTTACTTTTGTCAAAATCAAAATAGAACTCTAGTTAAAAATATATTGTGCTAAATTATTGCCATTTCTTAGTAAAATGTCGTTCTCCGGTACGTTGCCAAAATTATTCGATGGCACCCCGTGATATTAAGTATTCAATGCTTGAAACAGGACATCAATGATACATACACAAACACATGGAGGCGTCCTCATATTATCCGATGAAAAACATCTCTGTAACATTTTTCTATGGGCATATGTACATGATTGTATTATTGATTATTGGTTTCATCTATAAATGTAAAATAATGTCTGCACTGACAATAGTATCTTAGTTTAAAAAAAAACTATTTTAATATAATTGAATATACTGTACAGTCACATCATGATCAAATATATAAGCTATATCTTTGACTGATTGAATAATGTACGTTTGTAAGAATATCTTTTATAATATATTGAAAGTATGTCATGTTTTTTTAGTAGTAAATCCACATTGGGACAATTTTGACCAAAAGTTTTGAACTTTATATTTTGAATAAAAGAGAAACAGATGGCTAATAATGTAAAATATATAATACGCACAATGTGTGATAATTTAGACAATTTATGGCTCAAATTTTTGCAGTCATTGCTTGTTGGAGTTCTGCAATTGCGGTAGGGTTATTTTCATACACATTATCCTTTAAATAACCCCATATATAGAAGTCAGACGCATTGAGATCAAGACGTTGTGATGACCATGGGTTCTCCATCCTAGGAGAGATAATCTTCTCATAGAAATGACTAGTGAGCCAGGCTATGCTATCATAAGAAGTATGAGGAGTAGCTCCATACTTTTAGAATCACTGTTCTTGTCTATTGAAGCCTGTATGTCATTCTAGAACTGCCTAGAACTTCCTGGGAACACTAATATTGCGCTGTGTGTTAACAGTAACAGTGTTGCCATTATCAACCTCAAACCAAAAGGGGCTGATGATTTCATGTTTGGAAATTGGCAGCCCAAGCTGTGCATTTAACAGAATGAAGGGGCCTTTGAAGCACTTCATCTGGAATTTGTGATCCCAGAACACATTATTTCTTGAGTTTACATGTTCAGAAAGAAGGGAATGTGAAGTTTTATTAAAGTTTGAAGATATATTTTCCGTCCCAATTAAAAGTTATATATGAACAATTTCAAAAATCCAGACTTATTTTAAGATTTCGGACTGACACTTAAATCAAAAATAAAGGCATGTGGACTGTAATTTTCTAAAACAGTTCCTTAATTGACAGAAACGCAGCTTGAATTGTCGATTTCAATATTTTTATTATCAACTCTTGGGCATCAAGATGAGTTACTTTAATATATTCCTGTAACTAATTTATGAGAAACAAGAGTGAGAAAATAATTTGGCTTGAAAACCTTTTATTTTTCCCCGATATCAACCTCCAAAAATAGAGAAAGAACCTTTTTACTGAAATAAACATGCAGTTTTTTAGTATAAATTATTGTACAAATCTAAATTTATTTTATGAGTTAAAACAACTCTAGCAATCATACAGTAGTTCTGTGTAAATATGTATGGAAAATACAACACCAGAACGTGAATTGAAACGCTGCATCTCAAAAAGTAAATATGATTTTATTAAATATTAAAACAGAATAAATGCATTGTTTATCATGTTACCAATTGAATAAGGCTGTATTATATAGTTATTGAAAAAGCGAACAAAACATTTTCTGAAGATAATACAAAGTGAAAAGCATTAACTTTCTTGAAAAACATTTTCCTAACTCAATGACAATTGAAAATCTTAAGTATATATTCATTGGCGATACTCTTTGATTGAATAACTAAAGCTGACAAATGTTGTACAATTCGTAAATTCTCAAAATTAACTTATTTAGCTGACTTCAGAATATTAAAGATAAAAAATCACAAACTGCTTACCGGCTAGTCGTGTTCCAACTTCAGATCTGTAAAGGCCTGGTGACGTTTGAGGATTGATCCACGTCTTATATAACAACCTAGTTTGAAAAGCCAATTAAATATTTGATTAACGTCCGTGATAAGTTCTACCAAAAATGGCCTACAAATATAAAATGCCCTGAATGTCAAAGCCTGGAACAGAAGAAGAAAAGAAGCAAAATCATCAAATTTGTGGAAAGTGGAAAGGGAAACACTCGTTCACTAGAAAAACGATGAAGTATTATAATTATGAATTGAAAACGAACATTTAAAATCAGATGCCACAAATGTCATAAAAGCGTCGTACGTGTAAGTAATCCATCACCAAGTCCAGGCTATTGTTTCATGTCAAAGTGTTCGCACTAATTGTCAAAATGTTGTTCTCACTTTTTTCTTTAATTTGTGTCAAAGTGATCGCACTAGGATTACCAGAATGTTGAACTCACTTTTTCTTTAATTAGGTGTCGTATCTAGGTCAGTTTATTCAACTTTACGCAGGGTGATTTATGGTTTAGTACAGTTTGTATACAATGACAGAATGACGTTATACTTAAGTGGTAATTTTGTCTAATCATTTGATTTGCCTATATCCAAATTTTTGCCAGGTTCGGAAAATTAGATATCTGAAATATTATCATCATAATGTTATCCAATGGGATGTCTCTTGTCATTGGGAACATCAGAATAAGGAAAATGATATTTAACCATTCGGAAAATTAACCAATCGAATTTACAAATACCATTAAAAACAGTAAAATAAGATTAGTTACCTGGGGTATGACATCGTTACTCTTGTATATGAAATATGCGGTATTGATTTTTTCGATTTTATATGCAGGATGGAATTTTGATGGATGGAGATTTTTCAAATATTTTTTACAGATCGGTCAGGAATGATAAACTAACATTTTATTTCCCAGGAATGAATCCATCAGAATCCACTGAACTGTTTTGAATATTTTTCTTAAGCACTAAAACACTGAAGAATTTTTGAAAATTGCCATATATGGTGCCTCTGAGATAATATATAAAGTATACACATGGGCATACATATGTAGTGTTATATATCATTTTAAAGCATATGATATACTCTTTCAGAATCAATAGGTTTTTAAGTCTCATTTTATAGGTTGTCATGGTTACAAGATTCCAAAAATACATTGGGTTTGTGCTTGGACGTGATATCTTTTTTGATGAATTATTTTTGCACAGTCCTACGTCTAGACAATTAAAAACTAATTGCTATTACTTTTGTTTGAAGGCATACTAATTTTTGTGAAGTTCACAATTTCCATAATTCTGAGTAACGGAGAGACTCTTGAAAATGCAAGTTTTGTTAGATGGCGAAATTGAGTCATATTTTTGATACAGAGCACATGGAATCTAATGTAGCTACAATGTATTGTGTATCATTGATCATTTTTGAATCTAGATAACATTATTCTCATTTCAGATATCTTCTAGTTTGTATATATGTTTTACCCTGGCCCTCTTATAATACCATATACGACTTTCACACATCTTAAGACGATATCCCGGGGAGTTTACACCCTATGTATAGGCCTAGTCCGTCACGTGACTTTATGGATGATGGGAAAAATGGGACACACGTATTTCAAAAACAAATATTGATTTTCTAGATGAAAACATGTCATATTATATTCCAATGGATAGGGAATTTACTCATCTTTAATATGATATATGATAAGTTCAAATTTATTGTAATATCTGTCAACCAGCGTCCATAATATAAATGACGTCATTTTCGTTTCAAAATGGGTTTTCCAATCTTACAAACACCAAGTTTTATTGTCAACTTTATGTTTTATTATAAACAGACATTCAATATGTCCACCATTTTGATCAATTGTAGCCCTCGATTTTGGCCTAAACTGGTCAATATGCATCATTGATATGCTGTTGAGACAATGAATATCACTTCTCAATAAGTCTGTCCTTTAAGAGACTGAATAGATTTAAAGGACGTATGGTACACTAGTTCTGGGCGATCGGGTGATCTTGGGAGGCAGTGATTAAGCGGGGATGAATCTAGGAACATTTTCTTTTAAACATTTGACACTCTTGTGGGATCTATTGCTTAGAGCCCCATCTTGTTGGAAAATGTAGATTCGAAAATGAGCTCATATCATGTCAGGATGGTTCAAAAACAACATAATTGGATCATCCGATATCAACGTCTGCGACGACCACATATTGGGAGAACGAATAGAATTGGTTTATCATGAACCCCTTACATCTATTCTGTCCCTTATTAAGGATAGAATTGTTGAGAAGTGAAATCCATTGTCTCAACAGCATATCAATGATACTATTGACCAGTTTATGCCAAAATTGAGGATTACAATTGATCAAAACGGTGGACATATTGAATATCTGTTGATAAAAACTTGGTTTTTGCAAGTTTTGGAAAACCCGTTTTGAAATGGAAATGACATCGTTTATATTATGGACGCTGGTTGACAGACATTATAATTAATTTGTACTTATGATATAGTAAATTAAAGATAAGTGAATTCCCTATCCAATGGTATATAATATAACATGTTTTCATACGTGTGTCCCATTTTTGGACCACCCTGCACATAGGGTGGTTTAAGATTAATGTAAATAGCCAATTTACGCGTATCTCTATCATTTTAATAAATCTTTTGTTACATGACTAATATTTGTACCCCACTGTTTAATCATATTGAAGATAAACCACGACATCTCATTCCTTCTCAGCCCATTTTCTACCCTTTTTGGTAATATTTCTTAAAGATCTAGATTAATGTATATGTTTTTAGTATCCTATCTTGAAGAAAAATCAATTTTGAATATAAAACATGAAATATGGTTAATCTCATTTAAAAGTAAACAAAAAAAGCCAGAAGAAAAATAGTTTAAAAATGTTCTCTTCAAATGCTGCATTGTAGGTAATTATTCAAGAATACATTCCAATAAAAACATAATATGTGGGAGAATGTTCACTTTAAATATTGCCATAGTAATGATGGATTCCATTAAATTATCAACATGTATATGTATACTGTATAAGTGGTTAATTTGCCGAGGTATTTAATGTTCCGATTTCCGATTTAAATGTCGGATAAATAACAACTTATAAAATCAATTTACATTGTGAATTAATATTGAAGTCGTCATTATAAGAGTCAAGTCAAGCTATGAGACTGGTATGATACTTTCGGCGCTAAAAATAAATCCCTTGTAATTAACCAATCAGCACGAGGAAATAAAGATTAAACAAACAAACTCACATGTGACATAATTCCTCTCAAAAACGTAATCATTTTTTTATTTTTGGGTTATTTCTTAAAATCATACATGAAAAGCAAAAAACGAGATTTTACTTGGAATGTGTACAGGAAGCATTTTTTCTCCAATTTTGAAAACCAAAGAATGCTTATGTCAATCGGACCTTAGTCTCAGATCGGACATAATATAAGTATGATGCTACTTTAATAATATGTTGGGCTTGAAGTACACATCAAAGACATCATACTTATGTCCGATCATAAGTTTGAATGATAGTTGGGTTTCAAATATTAATTGTATAACTTATACGAGACCAATGTAATGCTACTACGGGATTGGATCGACAGGCCTTACTATTTATCCATGTTTTTTTCTCTTGAAAAACTCAACGTGTGATGTATATTTCTTAGTCTTCCAATGAAATCTACAAATATTTCGTTGCGGTTTTACCTTTACATCGTCATTTCAATCACCGCCATTATTTTTCAAGGAGTTACCTTGGAAATATCAAGACGGCATGCTATTCTCATGCTTATAGAACTTTAATCATCATTAATTAAAGCGGGTATATGGACTGTGGAGAGAAAAATTGAAAATTTTTACCTTTTCTGAGCTATCGGGGCGAAGTTTGGTCGAACAACTTCTTCCTTATTCCTATTTTATAAAAATGTATGCATATGGCAATATTCATCAACCAGTAGAACTGGCAAATCGTTAAGAATCTACAATTCTATACAAGGAGTCCCACTCATAGATTTTTCAAATTCTTTCCAAGTCTTCCAAGTCGACGTCGAAACACCTAGCGGGTGAAATTGAAACTAATTTTTCTTGCTGCTTGAATCGATAGAATCTCTGATAGTGTGAGTCTTTTTACTGTTTGATTCCTAACTGTGATAAAACGGTAATTAAAATTAAATTTATTTAGTAGGTCGTGTTATATAATGATGAAAATTTGCATTTTCTGTTTGTCTTCGAATACGGTGACAGTGTATCATAAGAATTGAAACAATTTTAAGCAATTCAGAGTTTCATTGAATTACCGACAAATATGGTAATATGCATTCCTCGATTGTTCGTATTTCCAAAACGTTTCGTTCAATTTTTCACTAGACAAAATTTGTAGTCATTATTCTAAAGCTATATACTTGAGAAACATTGATACAATCTGTATGGTGACGGCCGTAGCCGTAACCTTCCCCCGGTTCCCCTTGATACTGACCAGTATCATTCATTGACATAAGAAATGGTTGATCATTATATAATTTTTTTAAATTTTTATATTATTTGTCTATTACAATAAAATATATAACAATTGGATATGGATCATAATGCTCTTTTAATCTGCACTGTACAACACCAGGCCATTGGTTGTACAGCGGAGCAATATGAGCGTTACCACAATCACATCAAAATGATTTAGATACACTGCAGAATAGAAAACAAGCTAGTGTCTCAGAGCTATGACTGCCAGTCATGGTTGGACGGATCTATTGTCTTTTGCGAAATTCGCAGTGCAAATAGTTGGGGTGCAGGATCGAAACTTGGTCCAGTCCACATTTCAGCAAACTGTCCATTCATGTTCTCATTTCGTTCACTGTAATTGAGCTGTAACTCCGTTGACGATATTACCGTAGCAGCTTTTCCAAGCTTTGTTGTCGAAATCCTTAATAGTTCCAGCAAAAATTTGTTCCAGGGCTTGTCCAAGTTGCTGAAACAGAATTGGAATGCATTAGTTAATGATGGTTGTTCGATGTATTGACATTTGTTTGAACAGTATATATCTTTTTTCTACTATAATGGAGGATACTTGATTAGAAATAAAATATGTACAAAACATGTTAATGTAATTACAGTATATAATATGAATATACTTAGATAGAATCGTGTTTATAAATCTTTTCATCAGTTCTTTCTTATAAACATTTTGTAATTTGATTGCATTAAAACTTATGCCTACCTCAAAATATATGATTTTTAGATTTGGAATATTGGAGTGGAAGGCGGCAAGATGCTGGATTTGTGATGCATATACTTCAGCGTTTCCAAGCAACGATATAACACTACTAAGACCTCCCAGAACTCTGGTGCAATGGGCTTGGAATTTCGGTGAATTTGTGTCATCGCTGTCAAACTTCGAGAACAGCGCTTTTGATTCAGGTGATAACTTGAACAATCTGAAATAGATACTCACCGATTGTGATTTCTTGACAGAAATATTCAAATTAATTACTATTCATCAAAATAGTTCTACAACTCGAGAATGTATTCAGAACTTAATGTTCCATATCGTATGAATCCAATGAGCAATACTAATCTACTAATCTTCAACATTTCGATGTTAAAAAACTTACAGTAGTTGAGAAACCTTTTAGTTATTCAACATGTATTGTTGACTTCAGTAGAAATGAAATATCCCATTGTCTTGTCTTAGATTCTGCTAATGATTGAATGTTTGAAGGTTTGTTTTCCTTATGATGTTTTCATGTTTTTTTTGTAGTTGCCATTCGTATCCCTCTTGGCGGTCCAATCAGAGCTCTATTCCCAAGAATACTCTCCCAAGAGAATTTAGATTTCGATGAATTTTGCCTGTATTTCCAAAAGTTCTGAAGGTGGCGAGGGCCATTAAATAAACATTGACTTACGATCTAAACGCCGCTTTACAGACGACATCCCTATGGTTGTTGTAAACCAGGTTCCATTCGTTCTGCACTCTGATTTTTTGCAATTCGTCGCAGTTTCCTTTTACAACTACAACGCCGACGACGAGGCAGGCAAATATTGCGAGGACTTTCATGGCGATAGCACTAAAATAAAATAAATGGAATTGGTGACATGAGATTTGATATGAAGGGCTTCTCAGATTTCGGGTCACAATAACAAAATTATTAAGGATATACAGGGTGGTCCAAAAAAAGTGAACCCTTGCAACCGGCTATATTTCCCTTATTACCTGCAGGAATCCTTTCATAGTTTCACATGTTGTAGAGGAAGATCTAAAAAAAATTTGGTACTATACATTTTTCTTAGAAATTTGAAATTTCCAGAAATCATAAGCCCTAACGAAACATCATTGAAAATGGGTAAAATGTGAACTTCAATATCTGCGATTCTTCAACCCTTCAACAATCTTCCCAAGGAAATCTTTTAAGCCGGAGTCTGGCAAACCTAATGTTTTCTGACTTTGTTTGGTTTTGAATCCCACACAATATGATGTAAAAATAAGCATCCTACCTCTGTTAGTTGCAAATTTATTTTGATAAAAAGAAATGTTCAATGTTTCCAAAGACAAGAACATCTTCCAGTGAAATCGCAACATAACCCTATATGGTCTTAAAATGACAATATCTTCATTAATCATGGACCAATTCTAATGAAATATAGCTCAAAACACTGAATATTAGATTTCCTTTCAACTTTTGTAAGATTTGATATGAAGGGCTTCTTAGATTTCGGGTCACAAGGGGTAACTTTGCCCCCCTCCACCCGTTTGTGTAGGTAACATGCCTCTTAAACTATTGAATGGTTAAAACAGCTTCAAAATGGTCAATAAAAGTGTAAAATGTGTTTTCTGCTCAAATAGTGTCCCATTTGTCATGGTAGGGTTTAAACTTATAATCTCTCACTGAAAGCTTTTTTAAGATCATCTTATGTGTATCGAGAATTTCCGTCAATCACATCAGTAAAATTTTGCACAAAATCTAATTTGAGGCATGTTTGTTTAAGTCTTGTAATTTCTTGAAAATTCAAGACTGAGAATAATTATGGTGTCAACAAAATTTTAGACCTTTCTCTACAAGATGTGATAATATGAGCAAATTCATGCATGTATTAAGGAAAATATAGCCTGTTGCAGGGGTTCACTTTTTTGGACCACCCTGTACACGGGGGTAAAGCAGACCCGATGATGCAATGAGCTTGCTCGGCGGTATCATGACTGTGTAACGGGTCTTAATGTATAAGTGAGCTCGGCGGTAGGTTCAAACAACGCGGATCCTCAAAGCATGTGCTCATGGTATCATCGTGGCTTTACCCCCATGCTGTATATAGCATGACATATAAGTTGTAAAATAATGTCTGCACAATTTTTAATATTATTATCCACCTTGTCTAGATACTGAAATCTGATTGATTCTAAACTACTGGTAATTTGACCATATCTGGATTTTGAAAAAAAATTAATCAATATTTTATTTTAGCTCACAAAGTGAGCTCTTGCAATTACTCACTTGTCCGTCTGTCCGTCCGTCCGTCTGTCCGTCAACAATACAGGCACGTTTTAAAACCTCTGTCGATAGGATACCTGTTATTTAAGTTCAACAACAATACAGAAAATTCACCTATGACTCTTGGTTCAAAAGTTCACCTATTTTCAAAATGGCCGCCATTTTTGTCTAGCGAAATTCACTTTTGACCCATTTCCTAGCTTTACAAATATTTTCAGGTGTCCTGCATTGTAAAAATCCATGTCAATGTAAAGAGTAGTTGTATGAAATAATTTTGTTACAAAACATCAGCAAAATAGTATATCCATTTTTTTTATTTTAAGCCATTTTATTAGTTTACATTGATTTGTCCATCTGACTCGCGAAATCCACTTTTCCATCAATAATAGTGTGGCACGTTTTAAAACCTCTGTCGATAGGATTCCTGTTTTAAGTTATTTCTGCTCAACATCAATACAGAGAACGCCCCCTATGACTCCTGGTTCAAAAGCTCGCCTATTTTCAAAATGGCCGCCATTTTTGTCTCGCGAAATTCACTTTTGAGCCATTTCCTAGTTTTACGGATAATTTCAGGTGTCCTGCATTGTAAAAATCCATGTCAATGTAAAGAGTAGTTGTATGAAATGATTTTGTTACAAAAAATCAGCAAAAAAATATATCAATTTTTTTTATTTTCAGCCATTTTAGTTAACATTGACTTGTCCATCTGTCTCCCGAAATCCACTTTTGGACCATTTGCCTAAAAACTCTGTTGATAGGATTCCCGTTTTAAGTTATTTTTGTTCAACATCAATACAAAAAAATCCCCTATGACTCCTGGTTCAAAAGCTCGCTTCTTTTCAAAATGGTCTCCATTTTTGTCTCGCGAAATTCACTTTTGACCCATTTCCTAGATTTACAAATAATTTCAGGTGTCCTGCGTTGTAAAAATCCATGTCAATGTAGAGTAGTTGTATGAATTATTTCAAATAATTTTTACAAAAAATCTGCAAAAAATTATATCCATTTTTTTATTTTCAGCCATTTTAGTTAACATTGATTTGTCCATCTGTCTCTCAGTCAGTCCAAAATAGTGGCAAGTTTTAAAACCTCAGTCTGTCAACACTTGGATCTTTTTAAATTCTCTGTAGATAGGATTCCCTTTTTTAAATATTTTTGTTCAAAATCAAAAAAGAAAAAAACAGTGGCTCCTGCTTCAAAAGCTCGCCTATTTTCAAAATACCCGCCATTTTTGTCTCGCGAATTCACTTTTGGCCCATTTCCTAGCTTTACAAAAAAAATTCAAGTGTCCTGAATTGTAAAAAGCTATGCTTTTGTAAAGAGTAGTTGTATGAAAAAATTTTGTTACAAAAAATTGGTAAAAAATTATATCCGTTTTTTCTGTCATTTAAGCCATCATTCACTTTTGAGCAACACCATGTGAGCCCAGTACCCACGGTACTATTTTTTTTAATATTGGTCGGGAGACGTTACATTATTTGAAGAATTCCACAAAGAACAGTGTTCAATATAGCTACTGTGCATTATGAAATAAAACCACAGCATCCAAGGTCGCTTGTTAAACAGTTGTCAAGGTGACAACTTGACTCTCCATTTTGAAATTGATACTTTGCCAACTTGATCATTGCAAAGTTTTATTGAAAATATGTTCTTTTGGTTATTTTGTATCTTTTAGGTGATTTTTTAGAAAATATCATGCAATGTGTGAAAAGAATTAGCCTAGACCCAGGCGTTGTTTCCCAAAACGTTGCATTCCCCCTGGGCGGAAATGCAAAGATCTGGAAAGAACACGGGTCTTCGTATAGATTGTTCATTAAAAAAACTTCTCAAAATGCTATTAAATAAATTATAATTAAATAAATTTCCCCGAATCAATGACAATTGAAAATGCATTTTAAGATGAAGAACTAATGTTAAAAAATTGTGTTCAATTCGTAAATCCTGAAAAAGTTTTAATATATTGAGCTGAAGTAAGAAAACAAACTAGAAATTTACCAACTGCTTTCCTATTAATCCCGTTCTAACTTCAGATCTGTGAAAGTCTGGTGACAGTAAGTGGATCGATCCATGTCTTATATAACCATCTATTTTGAAAAGCCAATTAAAAATTTGGTTCATGTCCTGTTGATAAAGGGGCAGCTAATGGAAAATGTCATGAATGTTCACTAGAAAAACATGCTATTAACTTTTTTATTATCAATTGATAAACAGGCAATTAAATTCAGATGCCATAAAAGTGCGGACGTGTACGTCCTGACGGGCTGGATGAAAGATGGTTAATTTGATGAACGTGTTTGGATACAATCCATAAGTCATTTGGATGTCAAGGAGATTGGACTGATTTTCAGAATGTTAACCTCACGTTTTCCTCTAACTGCTGTCAATGTGTCATAGGACAGTTTTATTTATTCAACTTTAAGCAGGGTGATTTATCCAGTTTTATTCAGTTTACAATTGAACAGAAAAATATTGTATATGATTTTAGTTTGCTAGATGGGATTTCATGGGTGGAGATTTTTCAAATATTTTTTCACAGGCTGGTAAAGATTCATAAACTAGACACTTCATTTCCAAGGAATTATTCCACCAGAATGTAATTGAACTTTTATGAACGCGTTATCCTCTTGTTTTGGAATAACTTTCTCAATTATGAAGGAATTTTCGTGATTTTTTTCTTTGTAGAGAGTGTTCAATGCATGATATATTGATATAGGCCTTCTTGCATCAACAACTCTAAGATTTAAATCTAGAGATATCATGTTTTCCATTGAGCGTTCCCTGACGCCATAACACTAAAAAATGTAAGTTTGGATTCTTTCTCGTAGACACGCCTTACCATCGACAACGTACAGTGACGAACGCCGTAGTACACTTTAGATGTACGGTGTCACATTTAACCGATTTGGAGCAAAAACAATGATGTAGGTTTGATGAAATCAAACATGAAATCCTTAAAAATTATGATACGACGTCAGATACTGTACCACACGGCATTTTACTGCATTTTTACATGCCTCCTTACTTTTAAAACCGCGATATCTCGACAGCAAAATCATATTTTTCTACAATATTTTGTCATTAGTTGAACATATATGTCTATGAAGTATTTTGCCTATCGGGATTCAAAATAATTAATTTGGAACTTTTTAATTGAGAATCACGCAAGCTATATTATGTGACTTTCTACGCTAAAACCGGGTGTGGACTGTAACATTTTGAAGAAAAATGATTTTAATTTTAAACGAAAAATGAAGATAACTTTTTCATTTCTAAACAGATCTTTCTAAAATTTTCACAATATTTAAATTCACCATTTTGAAAAAGACTAAAATATTCTGTGTGATGACGTCATAATATAACAATGCTAACTTAACGCTTATATTTATGCCAAAAAAGTGTGGACAGGCAGAATTTCGTACCAACAAGATATATATTTTGATCAATTAAACATTAAATCGTTTGAAAGGTGAATTATTCTTTTTTGATTCCTTAAAGGCATATCATATTCTACATTTTTATCAAAAAAATATAGCATTTCGATTAAAATTCAATCTGTAAGGAGTATAAATTGAAAGAAATATGAAGTGAAGCCATGTGAAAAATTCACAAAATTACGTTTCATTTTTTGTGTTTAAATAGCCTATCTCTAACTCATTGCAGTGATAAACATTTAAAACATTCCAATGTTTCAACATGTTCTTTTTATTATACCCTTTACTATATACAATTAATTTCATTTAATTTGAACCAGTCATATTGAGATAGACATCACTTTATCATCGCAACCCCAGGTGAAGCCTTTACAAAATAAGACGTTACGCCGTTAGCGTATTATATGTTCTCCTTTATTATTCATTGCTTTAACTAAATAAAACTAAATATTCGAGTTAAAATAGATAACAAATAAAACATTTATCAATATTTTCCCGTCTATGTATATCAGTTGAATATGACAAGGGGCTTTGTGAAAGAGACTAGAATGACGGTGCGACAACGAGAGCGCAGGGCCGAAAAGCGCGACAAAAAAGAAAACAGGTAGTGTTTGAAATGTCTACTTTCTGGTGATTCTAATTCTGTATATCGTGGCACAATCTTTTTTAATATAGAATTGTATTGATTCGCACATTAATCTTGTCAGTTACCTGAAATTTTTAAGAAGATTCCAAGAATATTAAAACTTTTGCAATAACTTTGAAGACGTTGCGCGTTTTTATCGCGTAAATCTTTGCATTTTGTCGGTAAAATGGACAATTACAATGTTACGCCGTGATGTATAGTATCTGACGTCGTATCTAATGTATTCCCAGATAATTTTTTTAAACCTATATCAAACCTACATCATTGTCTTTGCTTCAAATCGGATAATAGTGACACCGTACATCTAAAGTGTACGACGGTAGATTTTGTTACTGTACGTTGTCGATGGTTAGGCGTGTTAGAATTTACCTAGTATGCAAGACAGTTCATCAATTTGACAAAATTTTGTTGGAGAAATGGTAGTTATGACACATTATTGATAATGCGGGAGAAAGCAATTCAGAAATCAATTAAATAATGTCTAAGACAGAAATCTCTAGAAAATTGTATTTTTGAAAATGTCTGTACAATTTCACGTAAAGGCATATTTGGACGGAAAATGTGATTACTCTTTTGAAAATCATAGATGCAATATAAATACTCCACTATTTTCTCAACTGAACGCTCTAACTACTGATATATCACAAAGATTCCACCATATTTGAGAAAGTTATTCCAAAATAAGACACTTCAGAATACTGTTTTCAATTTTGCATAGGCCTATGTTTAGACAATTAAAAGTTGCTATAATTAAAAAAAGGATACTGATATTTTGCAAAGTTCATATCTTCTTAAAAATTTCAGGTAACTGACAAAGTTGCCATAAGGGTATTAAAAGGTTTACGTGCGCTTGAATGAGCTTTTTGTTCTTTTTCGTGATACCTGCTGACAAGGCTCATTAAGCTGTGTGGGTAGATTACGGGTGCGGGCGGGTCCACTGGCATATGAAAATGCACCCGTAATGTGTAAAGGATATTGGAGATGGCAGTGTAGGTAGTCAGGGTAGTAAGAAGAAGTAGCTGATTTTGAACTTGAATAACTTGAATAAAGAACCAAGAAGAGACTTCTTGACAGTGTCTAAAAGTTGTATTACGAAACCTCGGCTCCCAGTGAATATAATACATCGAATGTGGAAATGTTGACCATATGTTGTTTCATCTAGCAAAATAAGCTTCTTGCATCCTGTTTTGGGCTTTTTCATTATCTCAGGTATTTTATGACTTATTCTCTGCCTCGGTCAATTCTGTTCAACTTAGAGTACATAAACAATAAAAGATAGCAATAATAGCTCTTGATTTCAAAACAGTTGTGTGTAGTGTAATACATCTACGTCTTCAGTTAAAGAAGCCTGTTGAACGATTACTAATAGGCAAAATAGGCAAATAGGCAAAATTACCACTTATACAGTAAACCCCAGCTACGCAACTCATGAATCATTTGGTTACACCATCATTTATTGCGCAGCTCTATACGTCCATAAGTGTGATATTCTAATTTATCTAGACACCGATTTATGGGGACACACAACTTATAATGGGGACACACAACTTACAAATAGATGGCATTTTAAAAACAAGAATATAGTCCAATTTTTGTAATTATATTAGCATCACCAGTGTTGGATTTTGGTGAGTACATGAATGAAAAAGTGTATGGACCAACTCTAACACATGATTTGATGTGATTAAGGTGCATTTTCTTTAAGAAATTTGACCTTTTTGACCTGCCTCAATCTTTCAAAACCTAAATGATTTGTCTTTCAGAGAATCGTTGTATCGTCATGGAAGGCTCTATACTTATTCATTGTGATTGATAGATTGGATCATATAATCATACAAAATACTGCAGTTATAATTAATCGAATCAATTTTCGACAAATTTTCTATATTTATTTCTTATTCATTTATTACATGTACATTGCCATGATTATCTATGCTAAGTTAAGCTCTTAGTTACAACGCCAGGCCTTTGTTGTGACAGAGAGCATATTAACATTATCACATCAAATAATCGAATGTAACAAATAAATATATCAGTTCAATATCAATTCATTTTACAGAAATGAATGTCTCAGAGCCTCGACTGCCAGTCATGGTCGGCGCTATTGCCGTGTGTCCATTCGATGTTCAAATAGTTGGGGCATGCGATCCATTTATAGGGCCCATTGGTTCACATTTTATGGAGAGTCCACAAAAGATAAATTTACATTCGCCCTATTAAACGATACGGGATGTCATTCCTTTGACGATATCGATGTAGCAATCTGCGAACGCTTCGTTGTCATAATCCTCGATAGAACGCTTGAAAATTTCCTCCAGTGCTTGTCCAAGTTGCTAAAATAAAATTAAAAGTTGAGTTGATGAATGCATACAAATTAACAATACATAAATTCTAATGACAAACTCCATTATCATTATTGCCTAACTCATTGGCACGTTCAACTGCACGTAATCGTTTGATTGCACGTCCGACTGCCCCATTCCCATGCAACTGACTGAGGATTCATAAGCTGTTCTATGCGCCATGAGTCATGACATTGATCGAATTTTAATCAATCTAAGTAATAAATACTCACGAGAAAGGCATAAGCTATATGAATAAATATTGGAAATTAGGACTTAGGATGAAGAATGAATTACCTCAAAATATACGATTTGGAGATTTGGGATCTTGGCATGGTATTGGCTGAGATGGTCCAATTGTGATTCGAATATTTTCGGCTCTCCTAGCAGAGAGAAAAGCTGGCCAAGACCTCCTAGAACTCTAACGCAATGGGCTTGGAATTTTGGCGAGTTTGTGTCTTGGCTGTCAAACTTTGAGAATAGTGCTCTTGTGGCAGGTTCTATCTTGAACAGTCTATAAAATGAAAAATGAAATGTAAATCCAATTAGCATAAAATGCGCTGATTACGTAGACTAAAAATAACTGTTCAAAATGAAAAATTGTTTGGAAATCTTAAGATTTTTTAAAATGACATGGCAAAGTTCATTGTGAAAATGTACTTACGCTCTGAATGCCGCTTTACAGATAGTAGTCCTGGTTGTGGCTCCCTCGTTGGTGTAGATTTGTGCCCACTGTGCCTGTACTTTGTATTTGTGCAATTCATCACAGGCGCCGTGCACAACTGCAGCCCCAACGACGATGCACGCCAAAATAGCTAGTACTTTCATAGTGCCTATATAAAGAAAACACAATTTTTGTTAATGCTGTTAACAATGTGGTGTTATTCTTGTCGAAAATATTCTTTAATTCCGAAATGAACATTGAAAGATCCAGAAAAGTATATCAAAGATGCAGAAGCAGTACTAGTATTTAAAATATGGTTCAAAATCCTCACAACGGGTCAAGCATAACTATTTTTAAACTGTTTAAAAGATTATTTATTTATTTATAAAGTTGAAAACAGTTGATTAAAATCACTTTCACATATAAAATTTGTAAAGCAAATTACCTTTGTTCCTTAAAAATTGACTGGTTCGTAGTCTTCAGATCTATGGCCGGGTGGTAGTTTCGTGTTACTTAACGTCTTTTATACCTATTCTATTTTGAAAAATCACCTTAAATATTTGGTTAGCGTCACTGTTATTTCATGGGAATGAATAAATGAACGTTCATGTCGAACTTATACTACGTCTTGGTGTATTTTGGCTTAATAATACAGTACAACCCAATCGTGGCCAAACGATAGGATTCCAATTCTGTCGTTTTTATCATGTTTCGAGGTATGCGAAAATGATGTTAAGCGCATCAGTGCGTATACTAGCCTCGACTAGGTCAACGGTCAAGCGCATGACAATCTTACGTTAATTAATGCAGCTCACGTTTTAATTAGTTTAACATTTATATTTCTGGTTTAAGTATGTATAGAAATGCACGTCAACAAATTCATCACGTTCAAGAAAGTAGGCCCATCGTCAGGTCCATGTACAGCAAAGAAGAAAGTATAGAATTGTTGTCTACTGACGAAGATAACTTTTTATTTATTTATTTAGTTTTTTAGTTATTTTCGTCTCAAGACTGATTGTGATAAATGTACATTTAAATAACATGATTACTAAAACACTGTCCCAGCCAGTGAGGCTTATGAGAGACGTTAACTAACAGATATCATCAAATACAGCTATATCGTATAAAAATGCAATAAAATAGATTTTCGAAACTACTTTGACTCTATGAGTATCGTTCATCTCCCCTAAATTGATACATTAAAATACTTTTTTGGAGGCAGTCAATTGATTCATGCAATTAATTTGCCCATTATGTATGAATACATCGTATGATACCTTGGAAATAAATTCACACAGTGTAACTCCTTTTAGTTCTAAAGCTATAGAATTTTGTCCTATGATGCACGCCGTTCGCGTTGACTCCTATCGAGTCATTCCTAGTTCAAGGAGGTCCCAATGAGAGTTAACATGTTTATTATTAGCATGGAGTTAGTCCAGAGATATGAGTTGAATTTTATCCCAAATTTTATCTGCCACTCTTAAACCTGCACTATTCTTTCCGTCAGATGATGGATCAAGATGTAACTTCATATTCAGGTAAGGAGTGTGGAAGGGTGGATTTCACCCCCTCCTTGTTGTCACATATTGCAAAATATTTTCTACCAGGTCACTTAAAAGATCCGAGATCACTAAAGAAATATTTTCAATGAAACATTTTGCAAGGGTCAAGTTGGCAAAACATCAATTTCAATCTGTAGAGTCAAGTTGTCACCTTGACAACCACATAAGGAATGACTTTGGATGTGGTGATTGGTTATATCAGGCCCGTAGCCAGGGAGGAGTTCGATTGTTCGAACCCCCACCCCCGACCAAAAATTATTTCACATCATGCAGTTTTTCTTCATTATGAGCACATTTTAGATGATTTTGGCCATTTTTGGACCAAAATTATCAAAAATGACCCCCCCCCCTGGAAATTTTCAAAAAGTGAACCTCCCTTAGCAAATCCTGGCTACAGGTCTGTAATATATATACACTGCAGTTATGACTTTTTAAAATCCCGTTTATGATATATCTGGAAAGTGCTCAATTTCAATAATCAAATTGAAGTAATTCTGTATTTGTTCTGTTTCAATTTTAAATGCATCTGACCCCCCTGTCTGTTAGTGTTATGAAGAAAACGTTAAGGTTATTAGAAAGTTAAATGACTTCCTAAACGAATACCCAAAAATCAAACATGAAATCCTTAATGTATTCCTAAGATTATTTTTTTAAAGCCTACATCATGGTCTTTGCTTCAAATCGGTTAAATAGTTACACCGTACATTTAAAGTGTACTACGGTATATTTTGTCACGGTACCTTGTCGATGGTTAGGGGTGATGTTATGTGGAGTAAAGGCTAAGAAAAACACCGAATGCTGCGACAACCATCTAAAGCTTTTGTTCTTGATTTCAACATGTTGCATATGAAAAACATTATCTGGGTGAACTAACACTTAAAAAATAGAATTACAATTTCTTGTCATCTATGATGAATTGACCGTGGCTATTGGGGTTTTATTACCACATTATAAGCTAGAACGTGTCAGCCCCTCCTTAAATTACGCATGACCGTACTCGAGATGAAATCAACTCCGGCCAGACTTAATTCGCAGTTACTTATTTTAAGAAAATATGACCTGGAACTGATCTACTTATACCAAATTTAAATAATTATATAAAGCGAAAGTGTAATAGTCTTGCTTCAAGACTGTGTGCCCCCGTACTTCACTTTGGAAAGGGGGGACAAGATCTTGAGGCAAGACTAAGTGTAAGTATGTACACGCGTCTATCCCACCTTTAATCAGACACACTTGATGTGTCTGGTCAATGTCCCCTAGACAGCCCGTCATTTTGTTTGCATTGATTAATCTTGTTTTAGCTAAAATATCATATTTTGTCAATCTAATCTTCTGTCTGTGTATGACACCAGTGTATGAAACGTGTATTTTCTGGCTCGGGGTGACCGGTTTTTCTACCGACAGGGGGTCACTGAACGTTCACATTCCGCTAATTTAAGGTGTCTTTAAGGTTGTCAAGTGCTTTACAATTATTCATGTCGTGGTATTCAGTATTTACAGAATTCATACTGATATGTAAACTTGCGCTATCACTTTTTATAATCTTGAAAAAATTGCTAAATACAAATAAATTCATTTTGTCGAACACCATTACTGCTGCATTTTACACTAGCTGTGGGATAGCCAGAAATAGGGGAACGAGGGGCATACTTTTTAAAAATAACCTGTTTCATTCATACATTACTTTATGCTGGATTGTGTAGTTTCTACCATTAAAGTGCTAAATATAAACCAAGGTTAAGATTTTGCATTATATTCTCATCCACCCTCTGTTGTCAACAAGACTGGAATTCAGATGTTTGAACTTTTTGTTGAATACGCTACAAGTTAAACATCACACTTGAGGAGCAAATCAGAAAACATGCCACCAACTCATCGGCAGGTGTTCACTACAAAGGGTAATTTACACAGAAGTCCGTAGAGCATTTGCCAACGAAGGATGTCCACTAGAAACTGGTGTTCACATGAAACAGGTGTTCACTAGAAAGGTGTTCATTGAGACAGGTTTTACTGTAGCATTTTCAAATGTAATAAAATTAACTATTCATGTTTGAAGCAATAATGAATGAATGGAATGAATTTGTTTCTGGGAAACTTTATTGTTTTTCCCATATCGTACATGACACATTACATTATATATAAATACTATAGCCAGATATCAAATTGGCTTTACAATTATGCTGTACTAAGGCTTAGTCCAGTCCAGCAAAATGAGACCGGCTGCAAGTTTATGCCAGGAATGTCAAGTCACCCCTAGTATTCAGTTTGTCTTTACAAGCTCTAGGGAGAACCTGACCATTTCTAGCATAAACTCAAACCAGAGACAAAATGTCAAGTTGTCATAATACAGTAATAGTATACTTTATGCAACCTGTACACTGTGGAATCCTAAATAAAAATAATATGAAGCAAATTCTGCTGAACATCTAAATTAGCTCGCTATGCTACTGATTGTGGTCATTAGCCCTACAGATAAGGCAGTACAAGTTCAAAGGTAAAGTCCAAGGTGAACTACCGAATGCAAAAATTATGAAGATCACTTGCATTTTGATATTTTGATTATTCAAGCTATGTACATATAAAATTGTACTTCATCTTGAACTTTCCCTTCAAATTAAAAGTAATAGAATAAATTGTGGAATTTCTTTGATTAATGTGAATAGAAAGTAGGCTCTTCCAACGAGATGCCTTTTAAACTTAATTTTTCAAGCATTGTATATAAACTACATGTACATTTAAACCAAAATGACTATAATGATATACCCTTTACATATATATTATCGTTTTTGTCAGTTTTTCCTTTTTTGACTTTTTGTTTACCTTGCCTTTCTACAAGTGTTTTCTTGTAATATTTTTATTTTTGTTTTTCAAATTTCTTGCTATTTTTTATTCAATTTATATGAGAAAATAAATCTTATAAACTTGACAAAGGAATGATAATATTATTTTCTCGTATAAACTTTTTTTGTTTATTTTTATAACTATTTTGCTATTAAAGAAATGTACAGTACATAAAATGTTTACAATCATTTTTGTAACTAAAACTGAACTCATATGAACTTTTAACAAAAAATAGAGAAAACGATGTGTCCCTCATCGTACAAGACCATTTGTTCAAAGTTTATAATTATCTTACATTAATAAATAGAAAATTGCCTAAGTTTCGCCAATGTCATCTTGGGGGTATATGCTGTTGTGGATATTCCCGATATTGAGATGGCTGGCTTGAATCATTCAAATCATAATCTTCAAATGATGAAAGACTTGACAGTCCCAGAGAGTTCATGGGGTCGATTGTATCGAGATGTTCGTGCATGCCTGGCCTAGGATGCTGACCATACTGTGACGCATGTTTGCCATTGGAATCATTTCGCTGGTCATAATGTGATGTGTTATTGCGCGGCTGTTTATGTGGTGAGGTAAAGGACTGAGGAGGTGCCGACATTTCAGGGCTACTCAGGGGGCGTTTCCTGGATGAGTGATACTTATCGGAAGATCCAGGTGGTTGCCTATAGGGGTCGTTGCTGGGATGGTGGGTGGGATGATGACCTGGGTGGCCTTGAGCATGAGGTGCGCCATCCCGTCTAGATTCTTGTTTCAATTTGCTGAAATGTTTATCTGAGTGTACGCTGTAATCCAATGACGAGGGAGGTCCAGCATGAGGTTGAGTGTTGCCAGCAGTGTATCCACTACTCCTGTGTGCCCCAGGGTGCCTGTGAGGCTCTGGGCCTCCAGGCAACCTACCCTGACTGCTGTGCCAGGAGCTCGACGAACCTGGTGGACGATGATGCTCAGACTTCACTTTGTCACGACTGAAATCTGAGTGTCGACTTTTCACTTGGTCTGATCTACGGTTATCTGCGGAATGGTACGATTCTTTCGCGGCTCTTAATTGGTCAGGATGGGCCTCTTGTTTAGCTTTGGATAGATCAGGGTATTCAGTTTTTAGTTTAATTTTTGGATACGGAGATGCATTCTTGCTACCAGAATGTTCAGATTTCTTCGAACCATCCTCTCGTTTAACTCTATTTAGGTCGGGATATTCATTTTTAATTTTAATCTTTGGGTAGGATGGTGGAGAGTCTGGCAACTCGCCTGGTTCAAGCTTCTTACGAGATGGGTCCAGTTTTAATACTAGCTTTTCAGTTGATTTTGCATTTTCAGGAGTTAATTCTTTTTGTTTACTGCTACTAGAACCTTCAAAATGTGAACTGTCCCTTGATTTTTCCCTTTTCATTTTACTGCTTTCAGAGTGTGAATTATTGCGCTCTTCCTTTTTTATTTTCAATTTTAGTCCTTCATGCTCACGTGAATTCACCTTGCCTTCAGAGGTTTCACCTGGAACTTTATATTGGTCAAATATATTGTCATGTTCAGTTTTACTGGTCGCACTACTCTTTGAAGGGGTCGTTTTATCAGGTAACATTCCCTTCTCTTTAAGTTCTTTGTATTCCTTGTAGTTTTTAGGGGTAAGGTTAGAATCAGATTTGACACGCTTCATTGACTCCTGTGAAGATGCTGGTGTGCTTGAACGGGACTTGTTAGAGGATGGTGCAGTAGGGGTGCCTGAAACACAACAGGACAAGCATTTTAAAAAAATTCCTTGTCGAGTACAAAAGAAAAAAATGACAGATTCAAAAGGAATTAATCAAATTGATGCTCATTCAATTTATCTCCATTTAAAATAAAAACACAATTTGGAGCCAACTTTAATTGATGCGATTTATAGATAAGATGTGTACTCTCCATATGTGGAGGTAATACCGACACATAAATCACAGACAATCTTTTGGATCGGGTTAGAACAACTTTGTCATTATTTTTGTCTGTATTTTTATTTACATTTGTCTATTTTCATAGGCGAGTTAGTAAAGAAATCATGTATAACTAGATTTGTGAAATTGAACAAGTTCAATTTAAGACTCCAGATTTATTTTACCTAGATAGATCAGTAAAGAGCTGAGTAAGTAACTGAGTAATTAGCTGAGTAAGTACCTTAGTAGTAGTTGAGTAAGTAGCTGAGTAAGTAACTGAGTAAAAAGCTGAGTAGGTAGCTGAGTAAGTAGCTGAGTAAGTACCTGAGTGAGTAGCTGAGTAAGTTGCTAAGTAAGTAATAACTAATTAAGTAATTGAGTAAGTAGTCAAATAAGTAGCTGAGTAGGTAGAGAGGTAAAGTAGGGTATGCAGGAATTTTTGAAAGTATATTTGATCAATCTGCATCGTGAATACTGGCAAGTGCGAATTTCAAACTTCAAAATGGCGTAGAATCTAAACCGGGGGTCGGATTGCAATTTTTGCTACAAGTATACAAAATTTCGGAGAATATCATTGAAGTGTAGTGTCAGAATCGCAAAATAAGAAAAAACTATGAATTTGACCTAGATTTTTTAAACTAGGTATTTTGGTGTCCAAACTTTGAAGGAAAGTAGCTTTTGAGGTCCCCTTCTTCTATGGGCTTTCATTATGTTTAGCTGTACTCATTCTATATCTCGTATTTTTACACTTCAAAAAATTATTCGGTCCCATTGATTTAACATGGGGCACCAAATTTAGCGATTTTTGAGATCTCAAAACGCCATAACTTCAGAACAAGTAGTCGGATCGAAATTTGGTTTGCAGATCTAGATTTCTGAGAAAATTCTACCCTTAATTCATAACTCATACGTTAATTTTGGAAAACTTTTTACTTTGGCCTACTTTTTGGACACCATATCTCAAAAGTGGGTCAAAATACTTTCTGACGGCAAAACGCTAACACTATTAGCATACTCTTTGCTACCTGTATACAAAATTTTAAAGCAAATCATTTAAATATAGTGTCAGAATCGCAAAAATAAGGGAAAACTATAAATTTGACCTAGATTTTGACCTAGGCATTTTGGTGTCCAAATTTTGGAGCTAAGTAGCCTTAGAGGTCCCCTTCTTTAATAGGCTTTCATTAAATTAAGCTGTACTCAGTCTATATCTTGTATTTTACACTTTAAAAAAATCTTTTTTCCCAATGCCATAACATAGGCACCAAATTTAGCGATTTTTGAGCTATCAAAACGACATAAATTCCAAACCAAAAGCCGGATTGAAATTTGGTTTGCAGATTTGGATTCCTGAGAAAATTCTACCCTTAATTCATAACTCATACGTTAAATTTGGAGAACTTTTTAGTTTGACCTACTTTTCGGACACCATATCTCAAAAGTGGGTCAAAATACTTCCTGACGGCAAAAGGCTAACACTATTAGCACACTCTTGGCTACATGTACACAAATTTTCGAAGAATATAATTAATCTGTAGTGTCAGAATCGCAAAAATAAGGAAAAACTTTGAATTTGACCTAGATTTTGACCTAGGCATTTTGGTGTCCAAATTTTTATGAAAAGAAGGTCTTGTGGTCCCTTTCTTTTATGGGCTTCCATTATGTTTAGCTGTGCTTAGTCTATATCTCGTATTTTACACTTCAAAAAAATATTTTTTCCCATTGAATTAACATGGGGCACCAAATTTAGCGATTTTTGAATTTTCAAAACGCCATAACTTCTGAACCGGTAGTCAGATCGAAATTTGGTTTTCATATTCGGAATCCTGAGAAAATTTCCCATAAGACTGATATCCTGGACATTGGATTCGGTGAAATTTTTTTTGAACCTCGTTTTCGGACACTGATATCTCGAAATCGGTTTGAGATACCAAAAAACTAAATCGACCCTAGGTTTTCTACTTTTTTATGAGGAACACAATGAGAAAAACCAGGATCAAAAATATTGAAGGACGACTGAGATAATGGGAAAAAGTGACAAAGTACTGGATTTGACCTAGTTCTTGACCTTTGACCTAGATAAAAATTTGACCTCATTTCCCAGAAAGCCAGATACATTCCCTAGTTAATCATGTAAGCAGCTTAAAGTAAGCTCTTCTAGTTGGTGAGAAATCTGGGAAGGAGGAAGAAGAAGAATAATAATAATAACTAGACATGTAAATTGAACAAGTTCAATTTAAGACTCCAGATTTCAAACTTTTTTTAAGGTGAGTCATCCGAAAAACTGTAAGCTGAGTCATGCAGAATAAGCTGAGTCAGCTAGAATATAGACATTTAGACGATGTTATCTTCGACTCCATTGGCTTAACATGGGGATATCATCATATCGACTTTTCGAGACTTCAAACCGCTATAACTTTCTAATCAGAAGTTGGATCGAAATTTGGTTTAAAGATTCTGATTCCTGAGAAAATTCTACCCTTAATTCATAACTCATACGTTAAATTTGGAGAACTTTTTATTTTGACCTACTTTTCAGACACCATATCTCAAAAGTGGGTCAAAATACTTTCTGACGGCAGAAGGCTAACACTATAAGCCCACTCTTTGCTACCTGTATACAAAACTTCGAAGCAAATCATTAAAGTGTAATGTCAGAATCGCAAAAATAAGGAAAAACTACGAATTTGACCTAGATTTTGACCTAGGCATTTTGGTGTCCAAATTTTAAAGCTAGATAGCCTTCGAGGTCTCCTTCTTTTATAGGCTTTCAGAATGTTAAGCTGTACTCAGTTTATATCTGGTATTTTACACTTCAAAAAAATATTTTTTCTCATTGACATAACATAGGGCACCAAATTTAGCGATTTTTGAGCTTTCAAAACGCCATAACTTCCGAACCGAAAGTCGGATTGAAATTTGGTTTACACATTCGGATTCCTGGGAAAATTCTACCTTTAATTCATGGCTCACATGTTAAATTTGGAGAACTTTTTATTTTGACCTACTTTTCGGACACCATATCTCAAAAGTGGGTCAAAATACTTTCTGGCGGCAAAAGGCTAACACTATTAGCACACTCTTTGCTACCTGTATACAAAATTTTGAAGTAAATTATTAAAGTGTAGTGTCAGAATCGCAAAAATAAGGAAAAACTATGAATTTGACCTAGATTTTGACCTAGGCATTTTGGTGTCCAAATTTTGATGCTAGGTAGCTTTTGAGGTCCCCTTCTTGTGCAGGCATTCATTATGCTAAGCTATACGCAGTCTATATCTCGTATTTTACACTTCAAAAAAATATTTTTTCCCATTGACTTAACATTGGACACAAATTTCGTGATTTTTGAGCTTTCAAAACGCCATAACTTTCGAACCGGAAGTCGGATTGAAATTTGGTTTGCAGATTCGGATTCCTGAGAAAATTCTACCCTTAATTCATAACTCATAAGTTAAATTATGAGAAATTTTTATTTTGACCTACTTTACGGACACCATATCTCAAAAGTGGGTCAAAATACTTTCTGACGGCAAAAGGCTCTCACTATTAGCACACTCTTTGCTACCTGTATACAAAATTTTGAAGCAAATCCTAAAAGTGTAGTGCCAGATTCGCAAAAATAAGGAAAAACTATGAATTTGACCTAGATTTTGACCTAGGCATTTTGGTGTCCAAATTTTGAAGCTAGGTAGCTTTTGAGGTCCCCTTCTTTTATGGGCATTCATTATGTTAAGCTGTGCTCAGTCTATATCTTGTATTTTACACTTCGAAAAAGTCTTTTTTCCCATTGGCTTTACATGGGCACCAAATTTAGCAATTTCAAAACGCTTTAGCTTCCGAACCGGAAGTCAGATCGAAATTTGGTTTGCAGATTTAGATTCCTGAGGAAATTTTACACTTATTTCATAACTCATACGTTGAATTTGGAGAACTTTTTCGTTCGACCTACTTTCCGGACGCAATATCTCAAAATCGGTAAAAGTAATCAAAAAATTGATTACTCACCGTCGAATCGTCTTTTTCTTGGCTACACGTTGAAAAAAAACTTTTGAAAAAATATTGAAAAATGACAGAGATAATTGACAAAATGATAATTTGACCTAGATTTTGACCTTTGACCTAGATAAAAATTTGACCTAATTTCCCAGAAACTAGGTCTCATTACCTATTTAACCATGTAAGCAGATTTCAGAAAGTCCCTCTAGTTGCTGAGAAAACGCGCAAAGAAAGAATAACTAGACATGTAAATTGAACAAGTTCAATTTAAGACTCCAGATTTAAGACTTGTTTTAAGCTGAGTCATCCAATTACTTGTAAGCTGAGTCATTCACTATAAGCTGAGTCAGCTAGAATATAGACATTTAGACAACTCTTAAGAATGTTATCTTCGACTCCATATGCATGACATGGGGATATCATCATATCGACTTTTCGAGACTTCAAACCGCTATAACTATCTAACCAGAAGTTTGATCAAAAATTGGTTTGCAGATTCGGATTCCTGAAAAAATTCTACTCTTAATTCATAACTCATATGTAAAATTTGGAGAATTTTTTATTTTTACCTACTTTTCGGACACCATATCTCAAAAGTGGGTCAAAATACTCTCTGACGGCAAAAGGCTAACACTATTAGCCCACTCTTTGCTACCTGTATACAAAATTTTGAAGCAAATCCTAAAAGTGTAGTGCCAGAATCGCAAAAATAAGGAAAAACTATGTATTTGACCTAGATTTTGACCTAGGGATTTTGGTGTCCAAATTTTAAAGCTAGATAGCCTTCGAGGTCCCCTTCTTTTATAGACTTTCAGA